GTTAATGTAAAATTTCTGATGTGTATGTGACAGATGTGATTCATGTTTGCCCACCAAATATTTGTTAAAACATGCAAGTTGATAATTTCTCTAATGACTCTTATGGCTGGCTTATTGGATGGATGGATGGATGGATGGATGGATGGATGGATGGATGGATGGATGGATGGATGGATGGATGGATGGATGGATGGGTGGATGGGTGGATGGATGGATGGATGGATGGATGGGTGGGTGGTTGGTTGGGTGGATATAAAAAGTGTAAGGGTGGGGAGCATAAAGGCTACAGGAAAAAAGCTATACACAATATTTGAAAAACGACTCCTAACATATAATTGTGGAAAATCTTATTAACTATCAGTTGGGATAAACTAAGACGTTCCTTGTTCCTTAACTTTGTTAGATTTTTCTACCTGAATTATTGACCATGAATCAGGATATGTTCCTCTTTTCTCTTTGTCTTCTGTCATTACAGCTTTCCTGTTTATTCTTTACCATCTTGGCCTTTATCATCTTACTTTAGTGTGGACTTTAGGGGCAGAGAGGCCAAATACTTGACTCCAGAGGCCAGTCATTAATGTCCTGAACTATAAAGGAGTCTACCATATATTGCAAACTAAGCAGTTCTTTGTGGGATTGATATTGCAGTGTTTTTTGAATTCCACAGCCATACTTGGTATCAGACTTGGTACAAAGTACCAAACTTTGTGCCAAGTATCTCACTTGGTACAAAGTTTGATGCTTTGCTTTCCTGACCTGGTAGAAAAATTGAGGGTCAAAGCAATGAATATGAGTGCTGTTTCAATCCATTCTTTGTCATGGCTGAGGCTACCCATCCTTTACCACCACCATCCAACCCCCAACATTGCTCCATGCACATCCTAAGCATAGCATCCCCAGTTCTCAGGGCGTGTTCACATTATCTAGTGTGTGTGTTTAAGGGCTAAATGCTGTGGTTATCACGACTTCAGATGAGTTAAATACAGAAGTCTAATACCTATGTGGTAAAGGTTTTGGCCAGACCTTGTAGTACTTTAAGCAGCTACTGGGAGAAGAAAGACTTCATTAAGGACAAAGACTGATTCGTCATGACTGACTTTGTTGATGCGCTTTAGAAGACTTGAGCTTGATATTTTTTGGCATTGCCATCAAATCCAAGGATGTCAATCATTTGGATCTTGGTCAAATGTAAATGGTGCAAATGACTTTCTACTTTATAACTCACTAGTAGGAATGTGTGATATATACGATACACGGTAGAAACGATAGACATTTAGCCTACGATAGAGATCTGTCTTCTACCGGCTAACCGCAGTAACGCTGTGTCTGATGTAAAATCAGAGTTGTCAGTTTAATCGTTACTTTTTTGAGTTGAAAACTGCATAAGTGGCGTTAAAGTCGAGAGCTAAGTAGCGAAGCTACAAGCTAACTACAGCTGGCTTGCCGTAGTGTTGCCATATTCGGACGCATGCGCAAAATGCTGTGTTCCGTCGAAAGTCTTTTATTTATTTATTTTTTTCCCATCGAAAGGTAAAGTAAGCGTTGGTCAGCTTTAGAGAAACCTGCTCGCTGATCTGTAAAAGAACGCTGTGTTGTGTGATTTTACTGTGAGACCCTCTGGTCAAAGCCACAGAGGAAACTGGTCGCCATTTTGTGTCGGCTCTCCTTAAAGCGGAAGGAGACGCCCCCTAGAGGGTTGGAGGGTTAAGTGTTTTTAGTGTAAAATGCTGCTCTGTTGTTGTTCATTTCTTAAGTGAGAAGACTGGAAACTGTTAAGAGTTAACAACATATTATTTTGTTTAAAACTTATGGGTAAAACTACATTTGATATATTTTGCACTGTTTTGCAATACAAGAAAGAAGCCTAATACTTGATTTGTTTATTATTTAAAAACTCTCTGGACCTAGTATTGGTATTTTCTTAATTGAGATTATTTTGTGGTATTGTAGTTTTCAAAATAAATGATGGCAAAAGGACACCCTGTGCTTTTTTTAAAATTCCTATTTCAAGTTTTATACTAATAACATATTGTGATATATATCGTTATCGCCACCCTTCACAATACATATTGTGATATGAATTTTATGCCATATCGCACATCCCGACTCACTAGAAACAAAAATAAAATAAAAATGTCAACGCTCAAATCCAGTGATTCTGAAGAGCTGGTAACCCTTTATGCTGAAAATTAATTTTCGTATAGCTTAAGTCTAACTTTCCAACTAACTAACCATTTCCAATACCTGGGAATGGACCTTATTTGAGCTGAAAAATGCTTTGTATTGAAACAACCTACAAGTGGACAAGTACAAACAATTGTTCCGTTACATCGTAGCTCATTTATTATCTAGTAACGTCTAGACTTCTTGTAAGAAACCTTGTGGCTTTAGCTGAATTACCGGTACATAAAAATCTACTGGCTGTATGTAAGCATCAATAACGTTTTTCCTTTTTGTTTGGTACAAGTGAGCCCTGTCAAGCTTTACCGGTTAAATAAAACTAGAGAAAACAGGGATGAGCATAAAGAAGACAGGAAAACAGAGGTGAAGAGGTGATAAGAATGAGAGCCTCATGGCCTGGGCGTGGGAGAGCAGACTGCATTGAGCTGAAGCAGACCGGACACTAATTTGGTGATCTAAGGCTTGTCAAAACATCTCTCCACAGATGTACACTCGCATATGAGACACCCACAAACGCATGCACTTGAACTACCCAGAAGTCCTGACAATAATATGCTCAAATCTAAGATGGGAAGCAAACTGTCTTAAAATATTCCAGGGAATAAAGTTTAGGATAAACTGTAGTAAACATCTGGTTTAAACCCGGTGAAGTTATCAGATTGGATTATCTCAAACTTTATAAATTGCTTTCTGTATGCAAGTAGGAACGCATGCCATTTGTGTTATATCAGTATACCTTAAATGAATCTATGGCACTTAGAATAAAAAAGCTAATGGTTTTGTGCAGTTTGAGCAGTCCTTTGTGTCAAATAATTGGACATATTGATACTGCGATGACAAGTTTGCTATTTATTGTGCAACTCAATTAAAATCATCAGATTAACAAAATCAATATATAGTTATTCTTATAATTTACTTGTTTAAATTAGGGGTGTTCTGGTGGTTTATTTTTATTTTCCCTTCCAGACGGAGTAAAAATCCAACTACGGTAGTTCAGTTTGGGTACTTGCTTATATAGAATATCAGTACAGAGTAGTTAATAAGTTATTAATCCATCTATCTTTTACCCACTTCTTCCTTTTCGGATCGCAGGGGTCACTGGTGCCACTGGTGATCATATCCAGCAGTCACTGTGTGAGAGGTGGGGGAAACCCTGGACAGGTCTCCAGTCCATCACAGAGACACATGGAGACAAACGAGACAAACAACCATTCACACTCTAACTCACACCTAGGGACAATTTAGAGTTACCAATCAGTCTAACATGCATGTTTTTGATCTGTGGGAGGAAACGGGAGTGCCTGGAGAAAACCCACACATGCACGGAAAGAACATTCAAACTCCACCCAGAAAGACCTCCAGACCAGGATTTGATCCGGTGACCTTCTCGCTGAGAGGCAGCAGCTCTAGTAACTGTTCCACCGTGTCGCCTAGTTAATGAACTTTAATACTACACAATCATTTCAGAAGCATATCTTTAGGACACAGCAGCACGGTGGCGCAACTGGTGGTTTATTTGTATTTATCTTAAAATCTCTTCAAAGTCTGGACATTATTTTATTTTTTACCCTCTATTATTCTACGAGTGGAAGAGAAAATACATCACAAAACATAAAAGTGGTATTGGCCCAAAGTATTGTGTTTTTATAAGTACAAGTTTGAGCATTTGAGGCTGGTATGGAGAAGCCACTACTGGTAGTTTAAATAATTTACTGGATTCATAGACAAACACCCACATTTTAGTTGTAGCTTGCTTTTTTATTTATTTATTTAAGTTTTCAGTGATTAATTGATTGATCAAAAAATAGGAATTAACTTTTGTATCATCTATAAAAAGATCTTTGGATGAAAATCAGTTATTTATTTTGCCCTTGTTGTTTCCTTCATGGATTTTTTAGGGTGATATTCTGGCAACTACAGTTTTCGGTTAAATTACTATAAATTTGACGTTTTGAATAAAGCCCCGTAATATGTTTCAAGTTGCAATGTTTTTTTTAATATCTCTAAAATGTGCTTATTATTAAAGAGATCTGTGATAATGGGATTTTCCTACAGTAAAAGGATTCGATTTAGAGTTTTTGTTGTTTTACCGTTATTTTCATTAACCAATGCTCAGTGCATTTATATTTTAAAAATAATTTACCATTGATAGTCTCAAATGTATACCGTGTCATTATAGAATTTTTTACTACCATAGCTGCCAGGTAATTGCTGTAAACTCAAAAAAAATAAAAATAAAAAAGCCACTCTAAGTTTTATGTTGCATTGTTTTTTATTTTATTTTACTGAAAAACTCTTATTTATATTTGTGGGATTTTTGTTGTTTAATGGTTATTGACCATAAACAGATATAAAGGATACTGTATATAAAATAATATTTTTTTTGAGAATATGTTTATTGTAAAAAAAAAAATATATATATATATATTTAGAAAGAGCAGTTTTTAAAGTGCACTGTACTTTGACAATTATTTAAATGTCTAACGACCACAGTAAACAATATTTTACTGTAAAATCCACACATTTATTACATTGCAGTTATTTGTTGCCTAGTTTATCTGTCATGAAATCAGTTTATTTTAATACACTTGTCAGTCTGTAAGAAAAATGTTTAAAACAATCACTTTCTAAATGTCATCTTTTAAATCTGAGTATTTTCTATTTTTTCTAGCAGTTTATATCAGGGCTACATAAAGATTATAACACGAGGCATTTTATTTGTACACCAGTTTTATTTTCTGAGGATCACTGATCTGGAATTCAATCCGAGAATCCGAAGTTTAGACAAACAGTGCCACACTGAGCACCTGACTTCTCACATGTGGACATGGCAGAGGACAAACTCGTCCTCCTATCTGTCCTCGTCCTCTCTCCGCATCTCTTTCTCACAGCCTGGCTGCCTGGCATGCGTGCAGCTGATGCCCGTCTGGCGTTTGCTGTGTCAACAGAGCATGGGAAAAGTTAATCAGCAGCTTGGCACTCCCACCTCCACCCGCCTCCTCTCAGCTTCTCCTTCACCCTCAGCCCTCCCGTTCTTTCAAACGAGTCGGGTGAAAAGGAATGATTTAATATTTTACTTGAGATTAGCCTGATGTTTGAGGCTCTGTGACCTTGATCTCCTCCTGTCATCAAATAACCCTGCTGGAGAGCCCTCATGTGTGGGAAGAAATGCAGGCTGTGGGGGAGTGAAGGCAGCATTGTTGTGTTATAGCGCCCCCTGGTGGCAAAGTCACTGCTTTAATCCACATTTAAAGGATTTACAGAGCCATTTCCCTCAAAACTGGTCAGCTGCTGTGATCCGTAATGATGATTTTTTTTTATTTATTGTATCGATATTTGTCTTTGTTTTATGTTTTTAAATGTGCATCTAATGTTGCCGAGCATTTCTTGCCTTGTCCTGAATCCGTGTTTTCTCTTTCTTGGTTAGGCTTGCCATGGATGTGGAGGGTCCAAATGTGACTGCAGTGGCGTAAAAGGAGCGAAGGTAAACAATTGTCCAATTTAAAGTACTTTAGTAATTTAAAATGCTTAAATAATGCTTATAAGAAATGATAATACTGCTTGTAATAAATGCTTTTAATAAATTAATACAAGTTTTTATACGGAATTATTAGGTTCTCACGTGATATCACCAAATCTGTTCAAATAAACGGATAAATATAACTGTGTATCATCAGCATGACAATTAAAATTTATCCCATGCTGTTTAATAACTTTACCTAATGGAAGCATACATAAGGTAAATAGTATTGGTCCAAGCACTGAACCCTGAGGAACTCCATGACTGACTTTGGTGTATGACGAAGATTCATTATTTACATTTACAAACTATAGAATATATCAGATAAATATGATTTAAACCATTTTAGAGCTGTTCCTGTAATCCCAATACCATATTCTAGCCTCTGTAGGAGAATATTGTGATCAGCTATAGATGTAACATATTAATAATTATTACAGTCTGAGAATTTAATTCAAATCTGGAATTAACTGGATCATAAGGTATTTTGCTAACAGATAGACAGGGGCACCACAGGGGCACCTTGGACACCAATGGGTGCAATGGCCATTTCTAACATATTGCCCCCCCCCCCCCCCCCCCCACTTGCTAGTTAGCTTTATCTTGGAGTTCCAAGTCTTTGCTTTGTGTTCATTTTTTAATTTACTCTGGCTGTTCTGGATTATTAAACCTGATAAACGTTACAAAAAATGTTTTAAAGCAAGTAGGAGTTTAAAAAAAACATATATTTTATTTAAAATGAAAACTTAAAGTCGAGTCCCACTGAATAAAAACATTGGCTGCTTCTCTCAAGGGCTAAAGCCATAAATCAAATTTTTTGTGGACACACACATATAAATATATATATAAATTTACGGCCTGTAAAATCAATAAAAAGGACTAGTTTGTAATAATGCTGTATTAAATGGACATAATTCATGTACATGGGTTGTGTTTGTTGTCCGTAATCCATATTTGTTCACAAAAGTACACAGCAACAAGCAAATACCAAATGTTTTTAAAATGAATTGAGAAAGTGCCAGTGTTTAATTTGAAAAGGCTTTTTACTAGAAAATGTTTAGTTCACTGTAGTCCTTCAAATAAAGACGTAAATTGGACTTCTTCATGGAAATGTACAAAAAGTCTCATGTAAGGATGTATAAGTAAAGATGCGTAACACGTTAAAACTGGACTGCTGACACAGTGACACAGAATCACTGTTATCTGTAAAATAAAAAAAAATAAAAAACTGAGCTACTTTGATCTCCTTCACTTACAAATTGCCAAGATTTTAAAATTAACGTTTACCAACAACCACATAATAGAATTTCTGAAATTCCTGTAGGACTTTTGTTTTTGGAGTGCCACCCCAGGATTTTCAGTGAGCCCCCCCCCCCCCGTGGCTCCCCCCTTTAAAAACTTTCTGTAAACATCACTGCAGACATATTTGATCCCAACAGTTAATGCCAAAATCTTAAACAAAGATCTACCACCACTCCTGTTAGTACTCTAAATATGTGTTGAGGATGACTCTCAGCTACTACCACACCAGAGCTAGGCTCACTCTGTAAGCCGGATTAAAACTATATCTTAAATAAAACCTTACTAGAGGGGAAACACTTGAGCTGTTTAACATTAAATATAAAATGTTTTCTTTACTTATGATTGATTTAATGAACATTGGAAAAAATACCTCATTTTGATACGCCCGTCGAACGTACGATGTATGATTCCGGTATATCAAACTTTGTTAAATCAGGTCCTCTGGACAGATTTTTCTTGTTGAAACATTTCCTCTTTTATCCAAAAGACTTCTTCAGTCTGAAGGGCTGCAATAAACTCAGTCTTATAAATGGCACCTTCTCATAGTGGAAGTAGTTTGCTGCTGACAGCCAAAACTAGCTGTTCACATGATGAAGTAGGACCATCAGCCTAACGACCGATCGTTAGTGCCCCGATGCCTGCTTGCTATTCACAGAGGGCTGAGTGATACTAGCAATAACACTCGAGACAAGCCACACTGCAGACAAGCCAGCGGTCACTCTTTCAGGGATGAAGATGTTCACATCCTTATTAGAGCGGAACGTTGGTTTGCGAGAGGAGTGAAGGAGGCCATCTTTGTGAAGAGAAACCATCCATCATTAAACGGGGCGAAGGCCTCCGTGTCCAGTTGTCCCCCTCTTACAATGCTGTTATTGCTAGTATCGCTCAGCCCTCTGTGAATAGCAAGTGGTCGTCAGGGCACTAACGATCAGTTGTTAAGCTGTTTTGTATGTGAACCGCTAGTTTTGGTTGTCACCAGCAAACTGCTTGATCCACCATGAGCAGGTGCTATTTATAAGACTGAGTTTGTTGCAGCTCCTCAGACTGAAGAAGTCCTTTGGATAAAAGAAGAAACGTTTCAACAAGAAGAATCCGTCCAGAAGACCTGACTTGACTTTGTTAGATTTTTCTACCTGGATTATTAAGCATACATCAGGTTATTATGGTATAGAGTATTTATGCACGTATGTTTGGACATAAACGTTCTCTTGTCTGGCTCATGACTTCTGATCCACTCAAGATAATTTAATGAAACTTCATACACACAAGCATCATCTTTAGACGGTGTGAAGAATACACTGTTCATCACCCCAGCTTCAAGGTCACACATCAAGGTGACAATGTTCCCACTCAGTGTTATAAAGGTCTTTCCTTGTACGAGCCACTGATTTAGATTGCTGTATAATAGTTTGTTGACAGGCGTATAATGTGCAATATGCTGTACTCTTATTTATTTTTACCATATATGCTTCTTACACAAGCAAGTACAGTAATTGTGTAAAATACCCAAGTATTAGTTGGTATTTGCTACTTGACACACCAAATATTTGGATCTAAAACATGGGATTATAATGGTTTTTCTTTGTTCAAAGTATTGTTAAATGAATTAGTAGCATGGGAACTAGTGTCATGACCAAAGTTTGTGCAAAATACCCCCTAAACAACTTCTACCTGAATTTGTACTGCAGTTGAATACTTTATTTTAAAGTGAACGTTCTGAACCAAACAGCTTGTATCAACAGAATATTGTTTAACTGGGATATTTTCTCTGATCCAGTGTATTATTTAAAATTGCAAAACTGTTCTCATGTTTATTCTTGACCAAAGACTTCAGATTTTTCCTGACCGTGTCCGAATCTTTATCAAACATGTCAACTAGTAACAAAAAAGTCCGGCAGGTCTTAAGAGTCCCAGATTTGAAAGTTCAGAGACGATTTCATCTTTCCGGTAATTACAGCCCAAAAGAGTGCAACTGGTACTAATGTGATTTTTACCCCATTAAAAAAATAAATAAAAATCAGTTTATTTTTACAACCTTCAGAGAACAATATGTCATGGTTTTGATACAAAACATCAATCCTTCACATACTCTGTACTTAATTTTGGTATAAAGTCCAGTCTAAGTTTACCCAGTCCAAAGCAGCAATACCTTTTAAAAACCAACAAACGGACCTTGTTTAGAGAAAATGTTTACATCACTATTTAGTTTGAGAAATTTCCATTTAGATTTCAGCTGAAATAATAAATACACGTAACAATCATTTAAAGCTAAAGTTAATTTGTTCTATGGCTTTGTGTTGGGACTTGCAGGGTGAGAGAGGATTACCAGGTCTCACCGGACAGCCGGGCGTCCCAGGGTTCCCTGGACCTGAAGGACCCATCGGACCCAGAGGAGAGAAGGTAAGTACAGTTTGTCGGAAGTATAAATGTGCATATAAATACATTTAAAATATTTAAAAACAAAGCCAAAGTTTACTGTAACAACACAGATTGGCTTTACAATCCTCCTTTTCTTTGGCTGCTCCATCGTGCCGAGGTCACCACAGCACGGAAGAATTGACAAGTTCAACTTTACAATTTTAGCTCAAGTTTTATTCGTAGCAGAAAAGCAAATCTCTTCAGCAAGACATTGCCAGGCGATGTGTTTTTATTGTCTTTTTAATGACAAAAGTTTTGGTCACATATCTCTGGATATTATTCTCCCTCAAAAGTTAATTTGCCCTCATCCAGAAATACTTTAGATTTAAAATTACACTACAGCTAAATAAGAGAAGAAGAACTGTTGTTGGGGTTTTTTTTTTTAGCAAAAAAAGAGCTGTTAGCAGGAGTATGCTACATGTACATTTTTTCTTTCTTTCTTTCTTTTTCTTTTTGGAAGTGGAGATGCTAACAAGAGACACTGTTAGCAATAGCATTCTTATAGAGGAGAACCAAAGTAAAATTTACACAACTGAAACCAAATCTTTGCTCAAGTCTTTTGTACATGCTAACACTAGCATTGTAGCACAGCTAGCTGCTACAAGAAGCTAGAAAATTAAGTTTTTCCATTCAAAGCAAAGACTCATGAGTATATTGTTGATATATTTTATCTATCTTTTTCCAGTTAGACAACTAGTTAATGTTGCTATTTTATTTATTTATTTATTTTTCAGTGTTTACTACGGAAGAGGATTTAGGCCATGGTGCAATTGTTTTTCCCTTAATTCGGAAAATAAAAGAGTCAGTATTCTGAGATTAAAGTCAGAATTCTGAGACAAGTCTCATGATTTTTTTTTCTCAAATACCATATATTTCTCAAATTCTGACTTTAAACTCAGAATATTGACTTTTTTCTCATGATTTTTTTTCTCAAATGTATTTATCAAATTCTGACTTTAATCTCAGAATTCTTACTTTTTTCTCAGAATTCTGAGATTAAAGTCAAAATTTTGAGACAAGTCTCATGATTTCTTTCTTTCTCAAATGCCATATATTTCTCAAATTCTGACTTTAAACTCAGAATATTGACTTTTTTCTGATGAATTTTTTTTTCTCAAATATATTTATCAAATTCTGACTTTAATCTCAGAATTCTAATTTTTTTTTTTCCCTCAGAGTTATGGAAAAAAAAAAATTAACCGTGGCCATAATCCTCCTTCGTAGTTTACGTTGTTAGAGCTTTGCTGTTATTTTTGTGATTAATAATTGTTGTGACAAAAGTTCCTCTGACAATGAGGAACTTGGTAATGTTGGTAGGCAAACTAAATTGTCAGAAGGTAAAACAACAACTTTAATCAGCTTTAGCTGTATCACAAGCAGTCATATATCTAAATAAAGAAAAACTTTTTATATACCCGTAGATGGTTTGTTGTTCCACGACCATCCACTCTTGAGTAAATTTTCATCCCAGGTACTTAGGCTCATAAAGTGGTGTTAGTGTAGAGAAACAAGGACGCAGGAGAAGACCTTATATTCTGGTCTCACAAGGGGACTGTGCAGTGTTTTATAATCAGGCTGCATCCAGAGGTTCTCACTCAGGCCTTGGTTTAGCATCACTGATTACTTTAGACCTGAGTTCAGTATCTGAACTTTAGGAAAATAGAAGGAGACTCCACAAAGTATTTGTGTCATCCAAGAAACGTAATCCAACCACTGACTGTCACTTCTTTGTAAATCTAGATTGTAGTGTTTTAAATGTTGAAACGGAGATTCAGATTTTATACAAAGGACATTTGAGCATGTTTGACAACACGTCAGAGATTTGGTTGCATACAGAATAAGATGCATTAAAAAAAAAAGACATAGAAGGTTTGACGTCCCTTAAATCCTGAGTTTTAAAACAAAACCCCTGGACTTCTTTTCTTGTTAACTGAAGACGTTTGGCTCAAGATTCAAGGAGCTTAATCAACTTGAACTGTAAACTGGAACTGAAATCATGTTCGAGTTGCACTTCGTCCACCCTCTTCAGATTAACAATGAACCCACAGGAGGGAGTGGAGGGAAGTTGATTTGAATGTGAAATCACCCCGCATTAACAGTTTTTATTTTTCACAAGCTAAATGGAAACGTTAGCAGATCTGTGAATTAAATTACCTTACTGCTCTTTGGTCCTTTTTGTTATTTGCACAGGGATCATTAGTCAAAGAACAGGTTACTAATGTCGTCTGTTCTTGGTGTTTTTCTGTCTTCCAGGGAAGTGATGGACTTCAAGGATTAATTGGTTCAAAGGGAATAAGAGTAAGTATTTATAATTTTCATGTAAAGGAATTTTGCCCCTAAAACATCTCATCTCAGGCAGTAAAATATATACAGAGGAAAAAAACTTCTTGTTGTTCTGGCTTTTCCCTCTTGAGGGGTCTCCACAGCAAGTCATCCACCTCCATGTCCTCTCTAACTGCATCCATATTGTCTTTGTCTTTTTCACCAAGGAATATAAACAAATGACCATTTTAAAAAAATGTTTCTATTAAAGCCTACATTCAGTATATGTGTTCAACAATTAGTTTAGTTGTATCTTTATTGGTTTGTCAGATTACTTTTATAGAAATTACTGTCCTCGCTGAATGACCTTGAGTTGTAATACCTTCTGTGGACAGCACGTGTCATCATTTCACCTTTCCTCAAATATGAGGAAGCAGGAAGTTGATGTTTGTGATTTTAAAATAAAACTTTAAAATGCTCATCTTTTGTTCTTTCTTTCTAATAGGGTCCTCCTGGATTACCAGGATTTCCTGGGATGCCAGGACAACCTGTGAGTTTTCAATTATCTCGTTTTTTTTGTTCATCAACGGACTTTTTGTAGAAAGTACCCAGCGTTTATAATTTAACTTTGTGTTTTCTTCCTGTTAGGGTCTACCAGGACAGGACGGCCCTCCAGGCCCGAGGGGAGTGCCGGGTTGCAACGGGACCAAGGTAACTCCTCAAAAAAAATTAAAATCTTTAAATAAAATAAAAAAACACGAGGAATAAAAGAAACACCATCCATCCATTATCTTTTACCTGCTTCTTCAAACACATTTGATTTTATTTTTTAAGTGATACAGACTAATTACAGACATTTCATTAAAGAATTTAACAAAGTTTAATAAATTTGTTACATTCTAACAATAAAACAAACCTTAATTTATACTTCTTCTTCTTCAGGGTGAACTGGGTTTTCCAGGAGTTTCAGGAATCCCTGGACAGCAAGGTCTACCGGTGAGCCAGGAACTTTTCAACAGAACGAAGTAGTGACAGTTTAACGTATCAATAGAGAAAATACAATATGTGCTAAAGATCCTTTCTATAAGGCAGAATTTCATTGGACTGTGGCTACTGGACACAAAAGTTTGAGAAAATAAGCTACCGTATTTTTCGCTGTATAAGTCGAACCTTTTTGCATAAATTTGCAAGTCCTGCAACTTATACGGCAAAGCGATTGATATACGTTTTTCCCCCCCCCATATTTATAAACCAATATTTGTCTGAGAACTGATGACTTCATTCATTCTGACATGGAAAATATTAAACACTAACATTTTCAGCCACTAGAGGGCCCTCGAGGGATATGGCAAGCCAAGTGGTTCATTAATAGGTAAAAGTGGCTATTAATGAGATACTTGGCTTGCCATACAAAGCCACCTTCGTCTCGCCCAGGAACTCCTGGAGCAAACGTTAAATCAGCTGCATTTTACTGTGATGCCCAGGTGAAATGCAGCTGATTTGACCATCAAAGAGCATTTATTAAGGAAAAATTAGACTGAGACACACATTTACTATAATGTCGAGCAAACAAATAATTGTTTTTAGGCGTTAATCTTGTTAAATTCTTGTTAAAGTCCTCCCGCGCACGCTCCCGCAGCCACCATTTGGCAGCCAATCGATTTTTGGCTCAACACTTGTCCACGTTTCCGGGTGGTCAGCGGTGACGTATAATGGATATACGGGTGCGATGTGCACGGCAGCAAGTACGGTAATTTTCACTGGCAGTCACGCCTAACAGGTTTGCACAAATTCTTGGACACAATTTGCTTTTTTTGCAACAATAATGATAATAATGGTATTTGTCAAAATTCCTGACACGATTGCTCGAGGCCCTGCAACTCGCGCCAGATCAGACTAAACCAGATTAGTGTCGGGATTTCTACTTTTTTGGGGGGGGGGATCTGAACCTTTTGGGTCAGTTCTCCAAAAAGATCTGTCTCTTTCAGCTCCCCAAAGGCTCCTCATAAGTAGCACCAAGTAAGGAGTTATGTGAGAGCTGAAACTGACCGCTCTCTTTTGATGTGCTGTGAATCCAGTGTTGCCAGGTGAGAAATGTAGGATTATCGTACTAGAGACATAAAATTATCATATTTTGAGGGAAATTATCGTACACCCGTCATAACCAAAATAACAAATCTATTGATGCACTATAGTAGTGATGGCCTGCTTTCAGACCGACTCTGCTTCTTCTTCTTCTTTTCTTTTCCTCACTCATGGGGCGGGCGCAGTGGACTATTCAGCCAATCACGGTCGTTGTTCTGAGGCAAGCGCATACACGTCATAGGCGTAGCCAGGATTTTATGAGGGGCGGTTCGTTTGAAGAAAAAGTGGACCTGTAGGACTACTCTGATTGGTTCATTGGCGGTGGTACACATAACTTCAAATGTGTAAACAAGCTAATTAGCTAGCTAGTTAAAACACTGCTGTGTGAGGTAAATCTGTGTTACCAAATAGGCGGTTGTGAGTGGAGAAAGAGCAACACACTGAGAGGGGAATAGCGTGTGTGTCCAGTCTTCTATTCAGAACTCATCCCAGACACGAACGAACACTTCGGTACTCCCGAGTCCCGCCCGAACATACACACAAAAAAAAAAAAAACACCGAAGAAGAATGAAAGACGTCATCCTCTTAAAGGCACAGTACCACTCCTTAACTCTAACAACATAAATGCAAACTAAGCCCGCAAATAATAACATTACTTCAATTGCAAAAATAACTCATCTTTTTACTTTGCTTTGTTAGACATTGTTTTTTATGAATGAAATTACTTCACCTCGCAGTTCTATATCTCGCGGGAGTTGTAGGTGGGACTTCATTGGCAAAGTGGGCGGTTCGTTCGAACCCCCCGAACCCCCCCTGGCTACGCGCATGCACGTCACTCGTAGGTCACATTTAGAGAAGCACGATTGGCTGGAATTTCCAGACAATCGTGCACCTGTTTGTGGACACAGATGCATTCAGGGTTCACAAAAAACTCCGACAAACAGTTGCGACAGGCTGATGACAACCGATTACAACCACACATTCACGGAATGGTCAAATTATCGTATATTTGGCCTTTTTTGGGATTATTGATCGTACATCGTACAGAAGGCAACATTGTCGTACAAATACGATAGTTATCGTACACCTGGCAACACTGTGTGAATCCAACCACCACACCAGATCTTTAGTGTCTTCTTCAATGTTGCTTCATTGAACTCGTCTTTAATCTCCTTTTCCTTCATAGGGTCCACCTGGTCTTCCAGGAGAAAAGGTAAGCGCAAAACAAAGTAGTTACAAACCAACACACTTTCATTTAACTGGGCTTGTTAAAACAATTAAAATCAAAGAGAAAATAATCTCCTTTACGGTCTGAATTAGGAGCTTTATTTATTGAGCTAATGAGAACAAACATTTGGCTAACTGTCTTCAGAAGATGACTTAACCTTTTTAAACCACATACTCAAGAGCCACGGGCCAAATCTGGTCCCCCCAAGATGATCATTTAAATGTAAAATATTGTATCTCTTCTCATTTTTAATAAAAAAATAAATAAATACATAATTTAGTCTAGACTTCTCTTGCCAGTTGGCTAACTTTGAAGCCAGAAAGACAGCTGGATCATTCTATCATTATTGATTCTGATGTGGAAAGAGTAACAGAGTGTCAAATGAGACAGATTGAACCAGCAACCAAGAAAATATATCAGGTATCTGACTTGAGTTAATGTATCAGCTGAAAGTGTCCTGTGGCTCGGACAAAGTTTTTAAATTTTAGCTCCTTTTGGTAACAGTTCCTGCTTTTAAAGGACCAATCAGCAGGTGTCCTCGTTTCTCCTGTTTCCAGACAGTTCTGAGGAAACTGGAAGCTCAACGCTGAACTTTTGTCTTTTTTCACAACAGAACATCAAATGACTTATCGTTATAATTGTTTAGTTTTGTTTAGACCGCTCTAATTTAAATTTTATCCACACAGCGTTCAATGACTTCCTAACTTCCCTCCTGACCGGAGGCATCAATTAAAAGCACCTGTGGTGGTTGTTTAGCAGTTAGCAGTAGCATTAGCATTTCCTAAGATGGGCTTTATTCTGTTCATGTTTCATTTTTAGACGTTATATCTAATTTTTCTACATAAAGGGCTTAAATACCCCAGACTTATTAGACATTTATAAGGTAAACCCGTTTTTGTTGTAGTCATTTTTGCACAAAAGCTCACATGGCAATCGTTTTTACTCTGTGTCCTACCAAAAAAAGATTTCTTAGAAGCTGACGCGAAATTGTTTCCAACCTGACTACTAGTATGAACTGAATATTTTTCACCCATCCTACAGCAATGACCGGTGTCTCGGCTCGTTATACCCCCAGTGTTGGGATGCTGTCGTCACGCTCTGTTTTCTCCTCCTCAGGGCGACCCAGGTGATGTGATTTCCTCCATTCGTTTCGGAACTAAAGGAGCCGTGGGACTGCCTGGATTACCGGGAGCCCCTGTGAGTGACCGATTCACTGATCCCATTTGAACTTTTGTGAACTAATTTTATCTTTTTGTAAAGATGCAAAGTATTTAAAAGTTCTAATGTATCACAAGTGTTATGTTTCTTCTTTCGGCTGCTCCGTCCCTCAGGGGTCACCACAGCAAGTGAACTCGCACGCCAAACCAAGTTACCTCAGCCCTGATTAATACACAAATTTATCATAAATGCATTTTAATTGCTTCATAATAAAATTAAGTACCAGTAATATAAACAAGCGACTGTCTAAATCAAAACCCTATTTGTTGATATTCATTCATTCATTACCTTTATTTTACCAGAGAATGACGGGTTGAGACTGACATATTTTTTTCAGAGTGCCATGGTCAGGAGGTCGACAGCACACATCATAAAACAATAATCGAAAACAAATGACACTATTGAATAAAACACAAATATTTTACCCACAAATACGGTTTAAGTTAAAGTGCAGGGGATAACAATTTTAACAGTGGCTTAAAACAAGACAACAAAATGGAACAACAATGGTTGAAACATGGACAATGTTCAAAGCTCTCACTAACACTATCTTTCTGAACTGAACAAAAGACTAAAATAAATTAACTCTGGCAGTTTGAGATCAATCTGTAGGGAGGAGGCAGCAAAGCAGAACACCCCTTTACCTAATTCAGTTTTGACACAAGGAACCGACAGAAGGATGCATGTGATAGAGCGGAAGGAACTGTGGCTGTTTGTAGGAAAGTTCAAATAAAATAGAACTTAACCCAGTAGGGCCTTGTAGATTAGAGTAATCCACATGTATACCTGCATGCCACAAGAGAAGACCAGCTGGATATGGAGCTCACACTGATGAGTGAGGCAGCTAAAAACAGACTAACCTCAGGACACTGTGGTGAACATTGTCTAAGGACTGAGGACACTCATTTACAGCATACCACCATAGATGAGTAAAGACATAAAGGCAGCTGATACTAAGATGTTCCTAACTCTGAGTGTAATAAAAACTCGGCTTCAGTATGAGTTTGTGCTAAACTAGCAATGTAAGCTTTAAATTGTCAAATCCAGAACTGAATTCAAAATCCTACTTCTAACCTACAAAGCTCTCAACAACCTAGCTCCATCTTATATTACTGATCTTACTGTTCTATATTTTCCTAACCGAGCACTTCACTCTCAGACTGCAGGTTTACTTGTGGTTCCTAGAGTTTCCAAAAGCAGAATGGGAGGAAGATCTTTCAGTTATCAGGCTCCTCTCTTGTGGAACCAACTTCCAGTTTGTGTCTGTAAGGCTGGAACATTGTCCAGTTTTAAGACTGGGCTTAAGACTTTCCTTTTTGATAAATCCTATAGTTAGGGTTGGCTTGTTTTGCTGCTATAGGCTTAGACTACTGGAGGACAAATTGACCTCATTTCCTTAAATGATTTGTTACAATTGAATAGTTTTCATTTGATATTATTTATATCTTAACATGTGATTCTCGACCTGCCATTGTGTATCTGTTCCTCCTTCCTGTTCCTCTCAAACCCAGCTGGTTGAAGCAGATGGCCGCTTGTCCTGAGCCTGGTTCTGCTAATGATTTCTTCCTCATGAAGGAGTTTTTCCTTTCCACTGTCACCTTCATGCTTGCTCAAGATGAGTCTGCAATGGAGTTAAATTCAAAGCAGTCTGCTCCTCAGATAAATAGTGTTAACTTACTTTTTACATGTCTATATGAATGTGTCTGTGAAATTATTTTTATATATGAATGTTTCTGTTCAGTGCCCTGAGATAACTTCTGTTGTGACTTGGTGCTATATAAATAAACTGAAATGCATTGAATTGAACTAAAATGATTGCTCACAACCAAGGAGAAAACCCACATATTTGTAATTTGAAACAAGTCCAGTCTGGTTTTATTTTGTGAAGTTAAAATTAATCAGATATTTGATATTTATTTTAAAATATAGTGGTCCTAGTTTTGTTTGCTTTTAAAACCAGTACAAGTTTTTGCAGATGTGGCTGAACAATATTAAAATCATCCTGTAAAACCTATAAAGTCTGAATGAGTGAAGATGAACTGCAATAAACAATGGTGTCATCTGCATAAAATAGAAGGACACATGACAAATTATTACACAGATCATTGATTTGAATACAAAAAATAAAACTGGTCCTAAGACTGAACCTTGGGGCACCCCATTGGCAACATTCAGAGAGGACAAGGTGGATCCTGCCACCTGGATTATTATTATATGGCCTTATTTTATTTGTTTACAGAGACACTCATAGCTGGGAAAATGAAGCTAAACTGAACAAAGAAACGCATACATCCGTTATAAACACTCAACGTTTTTTTTCCTCCTCTTCTAATAGGGTCCTTCTGGGCCCCCCGGTTTACAAGGTCCACTCGGCCCTCCAGGACCCAGAGGATATGAGGTAACAAACAGTCATTTAAGGTACAAACATATTAACCATGTTGGATTGAAGTTATTAAGGTAAATTTGTATTTTTTCAGGGTCGTCCAGGTCCTCCTGGTCTGCCTGGACCTAAGGTAAAATTAATCAGCTCATAAAAAATATAGCTAAACCAGAACAAAAGTATGTAAAATGTCTAGATGTGCAATATCATCCACTGTGATGTGGTGGTCCAACTTTTCTCCATTTGATCTCAACAGGGAAACATGGGTTTGAACTTTGAAGGACAAAAAGGAGAAAAAGTAAAATGCAACTAGATTTTTATTTTTTTTTCAAAATCACCCAAAAATATATAACTAAATTCCTCGCCTGTCTGTTTAAACTTTCATCGTTATTTGACAGGGTGATCCAGGCTTGCCGGGACCTCCTGGGCCTCCAGGACAAGTAGGACGAGGAGAACAGATCAGACCACCTGTGTCAGAGATTCAACGAGGGGAAAAGGTAGAGTCCTTTTACAATTTCATGGAACAAGCCTAAAAAAAAGTTAAAAGGTTTATCGCGCAGGTACATAAATACTAGCGTATTTTGGAACAAGTCACCAAATGAAGCAGAATCTTCTGTGTTTGTATTTTTATATGCATCTACCAATGTCATGCACAGAAGCTGAACCACTTTCACACCATTTGCCTCTGAAAACTGCTTGGCATTAAATGTCAAAACAAGATCCCAGATCCTCAAACGTGGTAGCATACCCAGTTTCTACACAATCCACATGCAATCACATCTTGGCTGGGCAGGGCATGTACTGTAGCTTGCATGCCAGACTATACTGGAGACTCCTGAGGAGGCCAGAAAAAGCGCTTTTAAAACACACTCACTGAAGGCCTTCAGCATCTGCATTGATACCTAGGAGCAGACAACACAAGGCAGAGGGAAATGGCAAACATCTGTTCACAAGGGTGCAAAATACTATGACGGCTGCAGCTGAGCAGCACAGACAGGCGAAGAGAACCAGCACAAACAGCCCCCCATCAGCAGCCAACATTCTCTGTTCTGCTACAGATCATTCTGAACACAAATTGGCTTGACCAGCCATCTTCACACCCACAGAGACAACCCACAACCCCAGGATGACTAGTTGGTCCTTGTCACCTCATCTGATTCCTTCCTGTTGTTGCTGTTTGCTTGTTTAAAGTACAAATTCAGCTTCTCTATTTTGTAAATGAAACTAACAAAACTCCATACTGCACGGTTCCATATGTGATATGATTCTACATTTAAAATGGTTCTACTGTTTATACTTGAGTTATTACCATCCAATTCACATCATGACAGCAGCAGAGAGCACTGACACCATTTTCTACCAACACTTTTTTTGCAACAAGAGGCAAATATCTGATATTATCTGACATCAGGCCTGTATGACAGCTTTGAAGAAAAACTTCTGGAAGGGTTTTCAATCAAAGGAGTATTTTAAAACAAAAAGTCAAAACTCATTTAAATATCAGGAAAGTGCTGAGTTCTGTTCATTCTTTTGCTTTATTTCTCTAAAGGGTGACCAAGGACCTTCTGGCCCTCCAGGTGATCCTGGCTTTCCAGGCCCACCTGTAAGTGACATAAGGAAACCATGGTACATTCTGTGAAACCAAACCATTTCAACCAACCGAGTATCTCTGTGCTGTAGGGTTCTTCTGGTGGACAGAAAGGGGAGAAGGGAGAGCCAGGAGATATTGGCAAACGAGTAAGTACTTAATTTGTTGACTTTGTTGCGCTGTTTCTTCTTTATGACAGGTGAAGCTAAGATTCATGGATATAATTTATGTTGGTGATGATTCACCGCCATCCTTTCTGATTAGAACAGAGAAATCTCCTTAGACTGGCAATGAAAACATCTTCAAGAATCCAAAAAAGTTCAGTCTGGTCCTCTAGACATTCAGAAAAACAAAACAAAGCAAAAAAATGTAGATACGTTTTGTCTTTCATCCGAAAGATGAACCTATTATGAGCATAATTGAGCATGCATCAGGATATCTTCAAGAATCACAAGAAGTCCAGCTGCCATTCATTCAATTTCTTAATCTTAAATTCTGTAGCCGATTTCATGCAGAAAAGCTCATGACAACCACAAACTGTCCCCAACTGACCAAATTGTTTAACCTCAATTTAGTAGCTTTACTTGATGTACACATCTGTCAACAGAAGTTCAAAATCAGACTGCAGATACGCAAGATATTGAGCAAGGGTAGAACCACAGCAGTTAAGGACATCATCATCAGCAAAGATATGAAACTGCACATTTGAAACATTTGACCTAAATTATTCATATTAATAGTGAACAGAAGTGGGCCAAAAACACAACCTTGGGGGACCCCTAATGTGGCATGTTTCATTAGACAGCATACTGTCATATTTAAGTTGTTGAGTCCTTTCAGCGAGGTAATTTTCAAAGCCTGCTCTGATAATTTTACAGTGAGCAGCCTTTGTAGAAGTGGCTCATTTTTTTGGATCTTAAGATTCAGTTGCATCACAGTGTTTCCACTAGGTCACTCGGGGATTTTTGTCGACCGTGGCTGGGAGGGTAGGCGTGAGAGAAATGGATTGTTACATCCGTAACTTTTTAGCCAACACGTCTGTATTGTGCACTGCTAGCTTAGCGCTACGTCAGTGCTGGCAGTTTTCCCCTTGTATAACAGTAGGGGAAACATTGCATCATTAACAGCTTTTAATGATGCTGTCATGGTGCTATGTTATTTTCTAAAGCCAAATTGGCATGAGGAGAGAATTTTATTATCTCTTAGAAAGTATTTTATTTGATTAGTTACCAAGCCTTCAAGAACCTTTGACAAAGCAGATAAATTGGAAATGGGTATGTAATTGTCAAGAGCGGTAGGGTTCCCTCTTTTTAACAAATGCAATACAGGTCCTTCTAAGAAAATTAGCATATTGTGATAAAGGTCATGTTTTTCCATAATGTAATGATAAAAATGAAACTTTCATATATTTCAGATTCATTGCACACCAACTGAAATATTTCAGGTCTTTTAATTGTTTTAATACTGATGATTATGGCATACAGCTCATGAAAACCCAACATGCCTGTCCCAAAAAATTAGCATATTTCATCCCACCAATGAAAGACAAGTGTTTTTAATACAAAAAACGCCAACCTTCAAATAATCACTTTCAGTTATGCACTCAATACTTGGTCGGGAATCCTTTTGCATGAATGACTGCTTCAATGTGGCGTGGCATGGAGGCAATCAGCCTGTGGCACTGCTGAGGTGTTATGGAGGCCCAGGATGCTTCGATAGCGGCCTTAAGCTCATCCAGAGTGTTGGGTCTTGTGTCTCTCAACTTTCTCTTCACAATATCCCACAGGTTCTCTATGGGGTTCAGGTCAGGAGAGTTGGCAGGCCAATTGAGCACAGTAATACCATGGTCAGTAAACCATTTACCAGTGGTTTTGGCACTGTGAGCAGGTGCCAGGTCATGCTGAAAAATGAAATCTTCATCTCCATAAAGCTTTTCAGCAGATGGAAGCATGAAGTGCTCCAAAATCTCCTGATAGCTAGCTGCATTGACCCTGCCCTTGATAAAACACAGTGGACCAACACCAGCAGATGACATGACACCCCAGACCATTACTGACTGGGTGCTTCACACTGGACTTCTGGCATTTTGGCATTTCCTTCTCCCCAGTCTTCCTCCGGACTCTGGCACCTTGATTTCCGAATGACATGCAAAATTTGCTTTCATCTGAAAAAAGTACTTTGGACCACTGAGCAACAGTCCAGTGCTGCTTCTCTGTAGCCCAGGTCAGGTGCTTCTGCCGCTGTTTCTGGTTCAAAAGTGGCTTGACCTGGGGAATGCGGCACCTGTAGCCCATTTCCTGCACACGCCTGTGCATGGTGGCTCTGGATGTTTCTACTCCAGACTCAGTCCACTGCTTCCGCAGGTCCCCCAAGGTCTGGAATCGGCCCTTCTCTACAATCCTCCTCAGGGTCCGGTCACCTCTTCTCGTTGTGCAGCGTTTTCTGCCACACTTTTCCCTTCCCACAGACTTCCCACTGAGGTGCCTTGATACAGCACTCTGGGAACAGCCTATTCGTTCAGCAATTTCTTTCTGTGTCTTACCCTCTTGCTTGAGGGTGTCAATGATGGCCTTCTGGACAGCAGTCAGGTCGGCAGTCTTACCCATGATTGCAGTATTGAGTAATGAACGAGGATGGGAGTTTTTAAAAGCCTCAGGAATCTTTTGCAGGTGTTTAGAGTTACGTCGTTGATTCAGATGGTTAGGTTAATAGCTTGTTTAGAGAACCTTTTCATGATATGCTAATTTTTTGGGACAGTCATTTTGGGTTTTCATGAGCTGTATGCCATAATCATCAGTATTAAAACAATTAAAGACCTGAAATATTTCAGTTGGTGTGCAATGAATCTGAAATATATGAAAGTTTCATTTTTATCATTACATTAAGGAAAATAATGACCTTTATCACAATATGCTAATTTTTTGAGAAGGACCTGTACATGAGCTGTATCCCAAATATGGATGTTATTTTGAGTAAGACTGAGATTAAAAACGTTCGTTAATGGTTTTGCTGTAAAGTCAGCTGCAGCTTTTAGGAAATATGGTTCTAAATTATTTAGGCCTGAGTGTTTTGTAAAGTGCAACGAGAAGAGTGCTTTGTGAACATCGTTCACAGAAAAAGGAGCAAAATCAAAGGATTTAATAAAAATGAACTTGACAAAGCATAAGAATTTAAAGACTAAGCAAAAGAAAATGGATAGAATGTAAAAAAAATCTGAACCTAAAGTTCTGTTTGTTTTTTTTTCCTCTCACAGGGAAAATCAGGTAAAGATGGAGATCCGGGTCTGCCTGGAAACGATGTGAGTCCCACCAACAAACTCCAAAGCTTTTGACAGTGATTTTTTTTTTAATTAAACAGTCCTTTTGACATCTATAACTCTTTTTAACCACCAGGGCCTTAAAGGAGAGCCAGGCCTGCCAGGCCCTCCAGGCAGGGATGGAGAAAGAGTACGGTTCTTCCAAATATTTTATTATTTTCTTAACTCTATACGGCAGATCAAAAAGTGTTGAAATCATGCTTCATCGCTCTGTTTTGTCATAGGGACTAAAAGGAGACCGAGGGTACCCTGGCCCTCCAGGAGTGGTATGTATGAATCTTACTATGAAAAACCACGAAAGAGCGAGTCCGCAAAAGTTGAACTGCGAAGTAGTGAGGGACTACTGTATAGTTATTAGGCTAGTTTAATATTTGTATTGTGGATTTATGTTTTTCATCATCTTGTCCCTTCAGGTAATCGGTTCCCAAACAGGAGGTGGTGTCGGCCCTAAAGGTGAGCCCGGTTTAGCTGGATCTCCCGGACTCAAAGGAGAACGAGGACCACCAGGTAAATGTGAAACGCACTAATAGTTTGGTACAAAAGGGTTTGGCAATTTTGTTTACATTTCAGTTCTCAAAATGCAACTATATAAGACATGCAGTCATTTTTTTGATTGTTTTGTTTTTTCTCAGATTAAAGTTGCCAAGTCACCATTCTGCTCTGATCTCAGAAAGATTACATTCTAATAAAAAAAGCAACTTTTTATGTTTTTTTAATGAGTTTTGCCCGTTGTGCAGCTATGAAACACTGTCCAAGTGTTTAGTTCAGTGGTTCTCAAACTATTTTTATGTGTTGCTATTTTAAGTTGTTAATGTTTATTACAAGTTATTTGTGCTAATATTATTTGAAATATTACCCTATGTGAATATAACAAAGTTATATAAAAGGTCGGTATATTTTAAAATAAGAATTTATGGACTTTTGTGTGGCTTAAGTACCTAAATATTAAATACCTGTATGATTGGTAAATGTACAGGCAAACTAGACAAACAAAATCATTAGAATCAATGTAAAAAGTGTAAATTATTCGTTCATTCAACCTTTATTTACACAGATAAATCACATTGAGCCTTGAAGACTCATTTACAAGTGAGACCTGTTTAGACAGACAAAAAATTAATGAAAGTGACACATGTATAGGATTTGGAGGCAAAAAAAACTTTACTCCTTGGCCGAGGAGAGAGAGACTGAGATTGAAAAAAACACCCCGCACATAGGCATATATTGACGCAGACATTTTGCAGGGGAGGGGAAATGACAAGAGCAGTGATCATGTCAAGGACACTCCAGAGATACTGTAGGAGTTCTGATGAGAATGGTACAATCAGTCAATTCCCTCTGGTGAGATCCGTAAACACTCTCGAGGGCTGCTGAGGTTGACCTAGGACAGCGCCAGAGAGAATCCAAGAGTTCTGAAATGATGACACAATGTTTATTTAGCCGGGTCCCTCTGATAGGTCCACAGACTTCCTCGGTGGGAGGGGAAGGGGCAGAGCATCAAATTTACAGGGCCTCCAGGCGAATTGAGATAAGGTGGCATGTCAAGGCCAGCTGGGGAGCAGAATTCAGATAAGCAACATTTGTTTTGGGAACAGGCAGAACTTTACTGATCATATTTGATATCTGATCCATAAATGCACAACATTTATCACAGCACAGTTGGGTCACGATATGGGTCCAACTATAAACTAAAGTAGCATATACAACTCCCAAAACTCTTGTTTACGTTGTTATAATGCATTATTATGGAGTATGACAAACTACAAACATGTGAAACTGACTTTTTCACGGAGAGAACACCGTGAGTTGTTGGAGGAAAAAAAAAAGTTAAATGGAGACGCACCTTTCCTATAATTTTCATCATACAAATATATATATATATATATATATATATATATATATA